AGGCAGAATAGAGTAGATCGATTCTGTAGGTGAGAGAGAAAGAGAGAACAGCCAAAAGAGACGGGAGTAAAGATGAGGAGAACCTAGCCCACAGGCTCGATTGAACGGAAGTATGCCCAGGGATATCCGTTTTCGTAGGAAATAGGTTAGTAAGAGATAGAAATATAAAGGAGACTGTGAAAGCAATTCCACTACTTTGAATAATATATCATGTGTATTTCTCCCCAACAATGAGCTTGTTCGATGGAACATCATAAAAAATTGCCGTCAATATTCAATACTTTTTTCTATAATCAATTTTAAAAAAATTAATTATCAAATTAATACCATTTCGAATGAATAATAATAAATTTAAAAGAAAAAAAAACGTCTTGCTGATAAAAATATCAGCAAGATGTGTTCTATGATTTTTTCTCAACCTTCATGATCTAAAAATACTTATAGGAAAAATATTTGAGTCATGCCACGTTTTCATTGTAAATATAACCTTTTTTAAAAGCTTTACAATCATTTTGATATGCAGCATGTCAATTACCAAAGGTTGTTTAAATATCAACATAAGAGTGAAAAAAAAATGTTTCGTTGAATCTGAAATCCATTATTACTCAATGCAACGAATTGATGTTCTATTTTTAATAATTTTCGTTTTTTTTTGAAGAAGAAAGATACGAGTTCATGTATGAATACCACTAGGCAGTAAAAAGTTTTATTATAAAACCATTGATGGGAAAATTAAATTAGCATAGTGATTATCATATACACAAGAATATATATAAAACGAGGATGTGGTGGAAAAAAAATGGTACAGATAGGGGAATTGAAATAATACCTTTGTCTAGTTATATATCTATACATGGAGTACATATAAAAGTTATTACACTCAATTTCATTTCTGCTTTCTATTAATCATTTTATCCATTACTTTGCATTGATTTTATCATGAAATTTTTTATTCCACTAATCGCAAATTTATGAATACAATTAAAACTATTTTTTGATCGATAAAAAATGAAAAAAAGGGGACTGTTTAATTGGATTCCACATTGAATATATAGTGAGAACTAGTATTTGTTAGTTTTCAATTTTAATTCTTCTAAAATCACGAGGATTGAAAATTTTCAGTGCTGGAATTGATAGGGAACCAATTGTATACTGGATTGATTGAATTTAATTGTAGCCAATAACCAATCGCTTCCATATAATTCAGTTAGGTTCTAAAAATGTAAAAAAAATCACAAGATAGTGATTCGTTTATACAACGATCTAGAAAATTTAGCTTGAAACAGATTAGTTGAGAAATGCTCCAAAATAAATTAGCTCATGAATGTTAATTTCTTTACTAATAAAACATACTACAGTATTAATCCCAGATATAAAACGGAAGAATTGACTAAACTATGCTATCAGTTAAATTGTACCTCTACATCGGTGATGCGTTTACGAGTTGTATGAATAAATATATTTCGTGGAGATCTGGATTTTTTTTTTAAATTCCAAATAAAATTCAATTGTAAGGTAATAAAAATTTTCATATGCACTTAAGTTAATTAAAATTCAACAATTTGTTTAAAAAAAAAGTCCAATTTTTTCTTCACTTATTTTAGGAATATTTTTCAAGGGTTGTAATTAACAATAGCATAGGAATTTTATTCCAACTTATTGACAGAGTTTAAAATAATAGTCTTTCTAAAAAAAAAGCAAGAAATTATTTCTGTAAAATTATTATGTCTATCAAAGTCATCAGTTCTTTTGTTATTCTGCCTTTTATCATACAACAAAGGTATAAATCTGAACAAGAATTTATTAAATTTGTAGATAATATCACAATTCAATATATCAGTGGAGTACATCCCTCGATTCTCATGATGATGGAAAATGCAAAAGGTAGATCAGAATGTTCTCGTCGAATTTATAACGCGAATACAATTTTGACGTATCACTGGTAAATGTACCGGACACTGGGGCGGGTATGATCATGGTGCGTCGCTCGCACGTGGTGATCGTAGCAGTCATGTTAACCCCATCCTCTATATTACTGATGATCCTCTGTCCAACCCCAATGGAGGACAACCGTGATCCCTTGCGCTGCTGTTACGATGTTTGTGCGGAGTGTGTTTTATGTCGTACCAAATTCGCGGACCAGAAAACGTGAGAGGAGAGATGGGAATCGCGTTGGGTTCCAAAGTGGGGTAAATTTGCCTGGTAGACACCTCTCTGGACAGTGTTTAACATTGGCTGTCGGTGATAATTTATTATTACGTTGCTCGTTATTGACCGTAATCTGCATTACGTTTTACAATTTGTATGCTTTACTTACGCATTTTATATCCCACATACGTTACTTTGTATCCTTTAATGTATGCTTCCTACTTAAATATTTCATTACTGAAATGAAAACATTCATTATAAAGATGTTGTGTAATGCGGGTTCGTGTTTGCGGTTGAAAGAGAAGCTAGAAATTTAATTAATTAATTAACTGATTAATTGGTTGATTGATTGAATTTTTTTAGATTTAATAGAATTCGTGTTTATATGTTTTTTATCAAACTAATGTTGTAGCCTAATGTTCTATGTAACTAGTCGTGACAACAAATTTCACCAGTAGTTTCCATTTCACAAGTCCGATGCCAAATAGATCGATGTGCCAAATGTGCCACGAAATGCATTGTTCAGTTAAATCGGACTTTCGCAAAAATCAACAATGAATATCCACTAAAATTTATTTCCACTTTCCTTTCACAGAATTACTTTAAGCGTGAAACCGAGTAAATATTTATCTTTTCATTTAATATTCACGTAGTTATGGTCATAATTAATAATTTTCGAAAAAATTCTACAACAATAGAAAACCTTCAAATATTTCATCAATTTCTCAGCGGTACCTTTTTAGGAATAAAATTTAGTGAGAGAAATGATTTGGTAATAAATTTTATTGCCTGCCTTTGATATTAAAAAACTTTAGGTAGCTAGAAAACCTCAAGAGATAATGATCTTTTAACAGTTTTCTGATCAAACATAACTTCTTCTTTTTCTTCGAAAATTTCAAATTTTTTCACTGACTCTCAAATGAATAACTCAGAGAAGTTAAATAACTGTTCAACTTTCTGATGTCATAAAAATCCAAATGACATCATTTATTTATTAAATAATTTCTTTTTTTTTTCTATTCATATAAATTAAAAAATAACTCTTCCATGTTATATGCTTGTGTTACTATAAATCTTTAAAAAACAAAAAATAATTCACCTGTAATTTAAAAACACTCGAGTTATTAACTATTTAACAATTAATATATCACATTAAAAATGCTCCTGATACAACAGGAACAGTTACCTGTTCAAGATAACATCACCAACTATATACACATGTTCTCTATTGATGAACAGCTGTAATAAATGAAGATAAAGAGTATTTTTATCAGATGCATCAATCACTTGACATGATAAAAATACTATTTAAATTACAAAAATTTACAAATAAATTTATATTAATATTTTCCTCAAAAAATTTGAAAAGTTCAAGAGATTGCAGAAAAAAAAATATATATTGATTTCATCCATTCTGGTAAATGTAAACCTTCATAATGGATTTTTTTCCGATTTTATCTCTATTCCCTACGTTCACACTAATCGACTAATAAAATATTTACACTGACAAGTGTTAATCTACAGTGCATCTTCACTCTGTTTTTCCCTAAATTATTCTTTCAACTGCGCAATCGAGGTTAAATACCCCTAATTTTCACTTAAACTCAAGTTAGTGATGAACAAAGGCCACTTCTGAAGACTTGGAAAAATTATTTGAGAAGCAAATAATATTAAATTCAAATAAAATGGGGTTGAAGTCAAATATATTGATACTCAATATTGTAGCATATTTTTATAAAATACTAGGATTGGCTCCAATTTCAATAAAAGTGGTGCCAAAAGTAGACGAAAGTGTACCAAAGTGGAGTGTTTATTGTTCCAAATCAGTTGCTGGAAGTATATATAGCTTTATTTTTTCAGCGTACTGCATAATTATGTCGTACTTCTATCTTCCACGGATGTTAGAACTTCATGTTTCGACTTTCAACTTAGGCATTTACGAAAGTATACTTGCAGTAGTTGGAAACGGTATCATGGTGACGAATGTATTAATCTTCAATTACAAACAAAAGTATATGATAAAAATTATTAAAAAAATATCTGACTTTGAAACTGAACTGCAAGAGAAAATGTTTTGCTGTTATTATCAAACGAAATGGGATCAGTTTTGTGGAATTGTGTTAGTTTTATTCCCAGTGTTAATAATCATCTCTGACGTTTCATATAAGATAATAACGAGTAATGATGGCATGTGTTACTTCGTCCTCTTTTTCACACCTGCATTGAGTTTTGGATCTCTTTTAACACAATATTCACTGACTTTAATTTATCTTAAAAAAAGATTTAGAACATTGAATGAACTGTTCACACCACCAAGAACTCTAGAAGATCATGATGATGATGATGATCAGCTGACTGTTGTAAATAATATTCAGAATAATTTACATTTAAAACATTTCACTACTTTACGACAATTGCGACGCCTTTTATTTGAGATTACATACGACGTCTCCAGATTTTATTCTTTCTCCAGTTTCATAGTAATTACATACTACAGTGGAGCTTTGACATATGTCTGGTATTCTTTTGTCAGGATTTTAATGTCATTTGTGGAACTAAAATATATAAGTACGACTCTATATCTTCTGAATGTTATACCGCTGATAATATTCACGAATATTGGGACCCAGACTTCTAGAGAAGTTTGTATATTAATTATTGAATATCGATATCAAGAGATATGAATGACATGGGTTTAAAGTTTCAATATAAATTTTGATTTCTTTATAATCAATTTTATATCTTATTTAACAACTGTCTATTATTCAATAGAAACTTTAGAAACCATTTTCAGTTATAATAACTGCAGAAAAATATATTTCTAATTCAAACTATTAATTTTCTTATTTTAGATGAAGGATACTGGGAGTGTTGTACATGCAGCCATGGTAAAGTACCGGTTTCACGATCGAATATCTTATGAGGTGAATAAAAAATAATTAGAGTAATGAAAAAATTATGTATTTGTTCAAGTAATAAAATGAGACTATTTCATAGCTTCAACAATTTTCCCTCGAATTATTACACCAAGATGAACTTTTTACTGGATATGGCGTATTTCCACTTAATAACAGTTTAATAATTACTGTAAGTCTATTATCTCATTTATTACTAATTAAAATCACGCAATCTTTTAATGGAATTTTTTTTTCCAGATTTTTAGTGTAGTGATGTTACGAACAATGATGTGTGGACATTAAACAATGAGTGTGTAGTTTTGCAGGTTACGTAAAGACAAAAATTTATTTATTTCTCAGAAAATATTGGAGGACATGATTGGATATAAAAATGTGTGGAGAAAAAAAAAAATAAGTACAGAGATATAATTCAAAATTTTTGATGAACATGATGAAAAATTCGCAATTTATGAGTCAATTTAAATTCATTCGGTTATGTAACTATTTTACATATAGTTGAAATATTTATATCGTTTTGATTGAGTCTAGGACATCAGTTTTCTCATAAAATACCATGGAAAATTGATATATTTATGTATTATTTGCATATTAAATCTAATTCAATGCATTCAATAACAAAAAGGTTCATATTATAACAGAAAATAAAAATAGTTGTTTATATTACATTGTCTATAGTTTTTTTTTTTTTCTGAAAACTGAAAAAGAATTTATTTTAACAAACAATTGTAGATTTCTATATTTCTATAATTATAATTGTAATTGACAGATCTCGGATTTTCTATTCTATCATTTCACTATTTGATCAGTTTTGAATTCTTTTGTATCTTCCTATCCAATAGATATTTATTTTAAGAACTTTAATGAATCAATCAATTTATAAAAAAAGCAAAATAGAAAACATAACTAATAATAGAAGAATTTGTCATACGTCACATCATTAATTCATGTTATAAATATTTTAGTTGTATCAAAATTATTTTCATGAAACAATCCCATTTTATTAAAACAAATTCATAGAGTTTTCAAATAATAAAATTTTCCACTACTATAAAACTGTCTTTTATTTGATTCTGAGAACGTTTGATGGTTTAAAGGTTTTTTATCGCGAAGTATAAATGCGGTATCCAATAATCCCATTGATGTTACAGAGAGATAGCATATATTCCAATAGTATTACAGCATTCCAAACATTGAAACTGTAGTCTGCTTCTAATTACAATTTTTTTCTACCTTCATTTTTTCCTTTCACTTTTGAAGTCTTTTTTAGTGAGGATCTTTCAATATTCGAGATTTACTATAAAAGTTGTTGTAATTCTCAGGTGACACTTTTTCTTGATTTAGATGTTTTGATTACAATCTTGACCCTTTTTTTATTGTCTTCGAAGAATTTTCCATCAGATTTTTCTTTCCTACTCTACTCTATTCTCACGAGTCTTTCTTAGCTACTCACGTCCCACTGGCACGGTAACAAGGACAAGTTGCTTCACGTTAAGGAGGAGGATTCGAATTCTCTGGGGACCATTTTTCCTTCATGTCTGTAGGATGCACGCGAGTGTCACGTTTGGTTCTACCGCAAAAGATCGTCGAGAAAAAAGAGACTAGTGCAAGCTCTTATCATGTGCCACAAGCTTTCACATTCTTCTTTGCTACTTATTCATCTCCTTTGTCATGTCTTTACTTTTCCATAATTTTACCCACAGTTACGTTACTTTAACGGCTATTTCGTTATATACTCTCTACTTCTGAGTATCACGGTGAACTTTTCATTAAAATGGCAAGTCGACGACGTAAAACTTCATGTTTCGCACGTCCGACATGGACCAATCTGCATAATCCACGTTTGCCTCAGGCATCATTCTCATAGTCACACCTCACGTTCTTTATATATCCACTGTTATATGACGTTTTTCTTATTTCATGCCTCTTTACGTATATCCTTAACTACTACTTATTATTCTTTATCTTTAGTATATTTGTCTGCTCACTCATTCAGCTAATAATGAAGAGGATTTTGTTATATACTCCATTCTACATAACATTTACAATACCTAAAAAACATTTATTCAAATTACTTTACATTTTTATTTAGTTTTTTTTTCATTCAAACTCGACATTAATTATAGTTATGAAAGAAATCGTCGAAAAAGTTTGTTAAAAGGAGAATGAAATCAATCACGACAATCTCACATGAATGACTTACGAATTCTTACGTATTTTCGAGAAATGAAAGATTAACGTGCTCCGATATGACACAAATGTCTAGACACAACAAACTTTTGAATTCATAAATAAAAATGCAATTTTATATCTAAGTTAAATTTAAAAGACGTAATTTACTAAGATATGATATTTATTGAGTTTATAAAAGATAATGAGGGACAGTGTTTTATTTTTTATGGCAGTGAAAAGTATCTTTTCACTGCTTAGAAAGGAAGCGAGGAAGCAAGTACTAGCCAACAACTTGGCGTAAACACCAACATAAATTCAAAAACGAACCATTTACTCACGTCTCTTGCTTTTCTTTTCGCAATACTTTTTATCACTAACACTACGTGAATTTCTCCTTCTCTGTATCGAGCAATACATTCAGAATAAAATAAAGACAATTTCTTTTCATCTGCTCATTTTTCCACTTTATATTAAACATGTTATAAACAGTGTCTCCCTTTTGACAATCATTCTTTTAAAATAATGACTAATTATCTAATTTAAAAATGTCTTTGTAATTATAATTACAAATACATAAAAGATTAATGGATGTTTGTTTCCAATTGAATTGAATAAATATAATTAATTTATCATTTGTTAGAATTTAATATAGAAAATCAACGAATTAAATTAATAGTTATTTCAATTATTATATATTCAAATTACTTTAAAATCAGATTATATTTTAATAGGAAGATTAAACAAAATTTTCACTGGTAATTGAATTCTTTTAATATTCTAAAAAGATTCTATTATTTGTCACAATAATTATAAACAATATAATTAATAATTAACATTCAAATAAATTTTTAAATTAATTGAATAACAGAATAAACATGCCTTATGTTATCCCAAAAAATTTTTAAATCTAAGATTTCTTATCAGTGATAATTATGAGTATTTTCGACTAATACCACAAAGTTTTAATTACACTAAATCATTTCCATGACTCAATTAATTAGAATAATTTTTCGACTCAAAAATAACAGGTAATAATTTAAAAATGAGTATGATACTACTTTTCTAACTCAAAACATTGTTTATATAGCGTGTAAAAGTTAGTTCTCTACTGATTAACTACTCATGCTCTTATTATTTTAATTTGAACTTGTAAACTCTAGTTTTACTCACGGAGTTGTTATGAAAGTCATACACTTTTTGAACCTTCCTTTTATTTAATTCATACTAATAAAAATGCATGCATGGCTTTACTTTGTAAATTATACTGATGTTGAAAAATTTGTATTCTCCATCTTTAATCGATAAATTTTGTAACAAAAAAATTACAATTGTTTGAGTTTTTTGCCCATTACTTATTCATTTTTTATATCAATATATATATATATAAAATAGTCTAGGATCTTAATTTTATTGCGGGGTTTGAAAACATGTTTTTTTTTTAATGTACATAAAAACAGAATCTCTAATTTTGTGTGTTTAAAAATTGTAAAGTAATTTTCTTTCAAATTTTAAAAAAATTAGTTCTTCTCCCAAGCTTTAAATTATAAATTGTAATGATTATTAAAAATATTTTCTATTGACGAATAATTAATAGTTTTATGAAAAAAAAACGAATTCTCTTGTTAAAACAACTATAGCTCTCCAATTTTTATAAAAATTCTAAATTCTTTGACATTCAACAAAAAAAAAATAAAAAAATACAAAGAGTCTGTTAAATATTAATTTTGTTGATATGATACGAAATTTAATTAAATTGCTTTACATTTAATAGAGAAGAATATTTTTACAAAAACAGAGTACTGTTATTTGAAAGTGCCTTTGAAAGATGCTAAATATTGTTAATTAAAAAAATACAATCTTTATAAAAGCTACGTAGGTACATTAATCGATTTTTTACGTGGAAAATCGTCGGTGTTGAATTAGTGAGCATTTTAAATGCAAAAGATAGAAAAAATGTAAAAGAACGACATTGCATTATGCGTTTACGTTAACGAAATGTAGCGAAGATAACCGAAAGGGACCGAGTGAAGAATAGTGGCGGAGAACGCGTCGCGCGCCAGAGTTTCTCGTGTTCTTGAATGGTTTCAGTACTGAACCACCACGGGTCTGGTCTTGACGTTTCACGACACGAGTGCGAGCGTGAGGTTTTGCGGATGTAATCTGCCAAAAACGACGGGATTATATGAATTTATTTTAATAAAATTCACCAATTACTACAATTAATTAATCAAAAATTAACATCAAATTATTTATAACTATAATTTTTACCATTTTATTTATTTTATATCATTTATAAAATTTCGGAATATATCCTGAAAGATCTTTCTGTGCTCTCAGTTTCTTTTCATCATGGAATATAATTTATTTCAAGAATATATTATGACAAATAAATTAGCGAAAAATATAATTTCTTAACTATTTATCTAGTGATTGAGTGAGTATTTGTAATTTATAGGCTCTTGTTAATTTTCATGTTTATTTTAACATACAATAAAATTCATTCGTTGAATATGCACTTTGTGAGAGCAAATTAATTGTGTCCATGTGCACATGTAGCGTTTGTGCGATTGCTTCTATTTCGAATAATTAAATGTACTTCACATAAACACGTGTTAATTCGTTCGACATTCAATTATATATTACATCACAAGTTTAACACAAGTATCGATTTGATCTTGTCTGACTAATTATAACGCATATTTCTGCATTAATCTCAATTTAATCCGTCGATTAATTCCAACATTACTTACACAATAATTCCTGTTCGTAATCGAGAGGTTACAGAAATATCCCTGTTGACCAAATGAACTCAGCCGACTGATAACAAACAATTATTTATTGTCTTCAATTACTAAATTTCATTTATTCATTTCTTATTTTATGTAACATTATATCTTACATGACAACTATGTGATTTATTACATTTTTTTAGGACTTGAAGTATCCGAAAGATTAACATGGAAATAAGAATTAAGAGCGTTGGAGGTTTACCACTGTTTAATAAAAGTAGTGGAAGGGAAATAAGTTGTTTTTAGTTAGCATTCAGCGATGAATGAAAATTTTAATGAAAAGAAAAAAGAGCAAAAACCATTATATTTTATTGAATGATTATAAAAGAGATAAAATAGTAAACACAAGGTAGCAAAAGGATAATATAAGCAATGTGTAACAAGAGAAGTGTACTCATTGGCAATTAGTGTTGGGTTAATCATGTAGGACAATAAAAGATTGAAGTTACGACGATGAACAGAGCTGTTCGAGAAGTACAATGCCGTATTAAATACTTGTGAATGTGCGCATTTGTGTAAGTGTCTTGTGCAGGGGAGCAAACACTGATAAAATGTGGTGGAATGTCGCGACAGTGGTGTTGGTGTTGGGGGTTGCCGCAGTATACTCGCAGGTGGAGATAGCTGATCTGGATAAGCCGGGTGAGTTACACTCCTCGAGTACTTCTACTATAACACTCTAGTTGCTTCCTTTGTAAGCTACACATACCCTCAAAATAGTTTTGAAGCCTAAAAGCTCCTGGCGTGTGCACTGATAATCCATGCAGTCATGGGTTAGCTCCATTATTTTAGAGTTTCTCAAGTGCGGTCGCTTTATTGAACAAACTTATATTAACATTAAGACATACTTGTAATTAAATTATATTACAAGCTATAGTTCCTGAATCAAGACGTATCAAAATGCAATATTTTATTGGCACTTTAGTCAATCATCGATTTTTGAAAAATTATATAATATTGATGGAAACTGAGTTGCTGAAATAATAGTTGGATTTTGCAGAATATAAAGAAGAATGTAGTCAGTGTTTTTATCTTTTAAAAACAAACATAACAAACGTGCTAGAGTCGATGTCATAGATGTACTATTTTCACACTCTCTAAAGACAAACAAGATCTGCTACTTGCAGATAAAGTACTGTTTTCAGTTGTCTAAATACGTCAGTATTTCACGTTCCAGGTTTGCTCCAAATTAAACTAACTCACCTCAATTTTAATAAATAATGCAAATTCACATTCGGATGTAAACAATTGAATTTAAATAAATAGTTTAAAACTGTTATTCAATTATTGTTTTAATTGAATAGACTAGGATAAACGTATTATATTGTTCCTTTGTTCGTTAAATTTGTAAAATATTTGTAACAAAGTATTGTGTAGAGTTTCAGCAAACTATTTAAACCCTTTAATTCGATACCCTACTCGATAAGTTTTAATAACTTTTCATTTTTAGATTTCGACAATGTAATGTCTAGAGCTTGTCATTTCGTTTTTAAAAAAATTTTACATATCCTGTATCACTGGTGGAACTCGACAAGTTGATTGACACCTGAATTGTGAAAATTAGGACAACCGTTTTAACTGTAAAGGGGAGTGAGTAGACATACATACATCAGTTCGATGAAAAAAAATACTAGCTTTCATGGTCGAGTAATCATTTCATAAAAAAAAAAATTGTTTCATTACAGTTAACCAAAAATTAGTTCAAATAGTTATAAATTTTTATTTGAAATATTTAATTTTTTTTTTTTTGAATTTAAAAAATCAAAACCTTTTAAAAAATATCGATTGATTTTATATATACATATTTAGTCTTCATGTATTTTTCAGCTCATTAGAGTGGAAAGTATTTTATGAGTGTAAAAAAAGAAATTAGTGAAAGAATTTTAATTAATATGTTATAAAATTTAGAAATTTTATTTATTTATTCACGAAATTTCTCAATTAAAAAATTAATAGAAGCTAATAATAAAATTGAATGTATACTAAAGGTTGGATAATATAGGTATTTCATGATAGTAGAAAAATTTAATATACTATAATTAATGTATTAATTAATGAATAAATATTTTAGTAAATACATTGGATTACAGCTGAAGAAGTGAATGAATGTTAAAAAAAATTTAATAAAACTTAATATAAAATTAGTTACCAATAAAATATTCAAAATCTACCCCCTTTGACTGCAAAATATGCATGTATATAGCTCTCATTTCAATTTCATTTTACATTAATCACATTTTTATGTTCTAAAAGTAGAGTTAATAAAACATAAAATTAAAATATAACAGAAGAGAAAGACTGTACATTAAGCGGGTCAGACACACGACTCTTATGTTAATGAACCATCATACATTCTAAGAGAATGTATTATCTGACAATTAAGTTGAAAAATATACATGTATAGTGATGAGTGTTTTAAGGTTGTACAGTAGTACATAGTCTTGATGAAGAAAATGGAAATTCATCTCATTTTTCATCAGTAGCTACTGTCGTTTAATATTTAACTTTTTCTTCAGACGAAGTATTGAAAATATTATCCAATTTACTATTTTTATTTCAAAGTGTATAGACACGAATGAAAAGTGTTATGTATATTAATCATTCGATGGATAATGAGAAAATTAGTATGCTCCAATATAATAACATCAAAATGACTTTTTTAATTTCCTTTTCACCTACGTGCATCTATTATAGTAACAAACCCATCCCTCATTTCGTTACATTCTTTTTATACTCATACTTTACTTTGATTAACTTCATTTTAGAATCTAGTAGAATATTTATAAAAATAATTCTAACTTAATCACTACTTTTTTTAACCTTTACGTTAATAGAGTGAAATATGATTATCATTAATGAAGAACATTAATTGCTTTTCCATAATATAAATTGAAATATATGTAATTAAAAATAGGTAAAGGATTCGCTGTATTTTGAGATCAATATTTTCCATATAAACATTTATTAATATCAATTTCTATAATATTATTCGTATGATACAATGATTCCTTGTGTACGTTTTGGAAGAGAAATTTTCAATTTTAATTGAGATATATATATGTTTGAATATAAACCCAACAGATATTTGATATTTCTTATCAAATGATTCTATTTAAAATTATTTTCTCGATATAAATGATTTTATTCATTGATTCATAGAATTAAAACATCATATTTATATTGAATCATAGGATTAATTTCATTTCATAGTAAATTAGCTAGAGTTCTCCGAAAATACAGTCTTAATCATATCATTCAATTAAATATGTATAGGTTTATATTTGAAGTATAAGTATATTTGAAGAACATTGTGATTGATCTAAATCGATCACTGTGACATCATGTTATTGATGAATACAATCATCTGGAACCGACGAAATTAGCTAATAATAAATTTTTCAAAGATATTTCCATCAAATGATATGACTTATTTCAGTCTACTACCATTTGATTCCTCTCAATTATTACAGCAGATTATTCTATATTTATGATAATAATATTACCAAGTGATTAAATATTTATAAAAATGACATTATTATTTATAAGAATCATTATAAATTATCGGAGCTCGAATAAATATTTAAATCTTCTATTTAAATTCACATTAGATTTTTAAGAATCTCGTCAAGCTTTTTATTACGATGTTGCACAATGAATCTGATCAGCTCTCAAAATAAAAATAAGAAGTAATATTTAATGTGGCACAGACATAAATTCAAATTTGATGAACTTTAAGGCTATATTTTTGGTTGACAGTGTGGAATAAAATTGAAAAATTACCAGAATAATTTAAGAGAATCGATAGAAAATATATGAAATTAAAAATTGAGTCTCGTTCAATTTAGTGATCGAAATCCGTCCTCGCCTGAGGCTGACATTCACATATTCTGTGTTGGCGTCGAATCGGCAGTTTAATTAGACCACATGGATTTATAGCCTGACGGAGGTAGATAATAAAAAAAAAAGAAACCTCAAGTCTTCGATACGTGACACGATGTATTTTCTTATAAGCAACTTTATTGATGATCGATATCTCTAGCACGATACGAGAAGAATTTAGATTTAAAAAAAGCGTGAATAAGAATCATGCAATCAGCTACTAATAAGAATGAAGCATGCGGCTTCCGTCGTATTTTAATGGCAAAATTAATAGATTCGATCCTCTTTAAAATTCACCATTATATCAGCAATTTCATTAGATTTTCACCGATAAAAAGGTGTATGTTCTGTGTTTATATGTGTATTCAGAGTAAATGGGATCAGGCTATTTGATTTCTAAAATATTCAAGAAAAGATGAGGCTTTGGACTGCGAAAAGCATATAGTTCTCAGCTAAGTCGAGGGCACTAATTATCTTTTTGCATGCGATCTGCGAAGTCGAGAGAGCTCGTCGGCTAACCACGAAATCGACTTAATAGTTGGGCGATTTATCATACTCGACCAGTCGCCCTTCTTTTGCTGGGGTCAAATCCGCTCGGGGTTAAAATTCGTTTCGCTTGAAATGATTTGCACGCTATTAAATATTTTGGCGTGAGCATAGTTTTTGCATTGTTTTACTTTTGTCCCGCTCCTTCCTCTACCTAATATCAACATGACAACCAATTTATTTTAGACTCCGAGTATATTTCAGGATGTTGAAAAAGTATATATACTTTTAAGTGTTCGTTAAGTGAAATCATACGAGTCTGATGAATTCGAGTGAGGAGGAAAAAAATAATAAAAGCAATCTTGAATATGATTGAATTAACGAGAGCTCTTTACGTAGTTAATTGATTTTATTGACTTATTTCTTAACAGCATATACTTGTTTATTAATTTTAAAAGTCTTCATTATCATTTTTATTACACAATTTATTATATTTTCTCCGTAATTACTAGGCGGAATATTTTCTTTGATAAGTGATTACTTCAATTGCGTGCCCATAGTTTTTTATTAAGTCGAATACTTTGCCTCTTTCAGGGTCAGTTAGAAATCAAACACGTTATTCTAACATTAATTCTGTACCCATGCATTAGAGAAAAACATTAGCCAGAAGCTGATGTCTTTTTATTTTATTAAAATATTTCCTCGAGACAGAAGTAAAAAAAAAGAAATGTCTGAAAGAAAAAACATTCGTGGAATCGTTTTATAAATGTATCGTTGCAATTATTTTATCAATTATAAATATAAACTCGGGATTTAAAACTACTTGAATACTTCACTTGAAAGGAACTTGTAGTCTCAGAACTTTCGATGAACAGTTACAATCTTGATAGAAGTACCCTAGAACTTTTATAATCATCATTTACTAGTATTAAATAATAGTTGATTAGAATAAAATAAATGAAATTTTAATTTATTTATTGCATCACTTGATTACAATGCAATTCATTATGCATCATACAATAAAAAATTAAATTTTTCATTATAATAAATTTAATTAATTTCTTTAATTAGTTTCTTTATAATGATATTTATTCCAGTTTTTTTTTACTTTCCCTTTTTCTATGGATTCAGTAATTAATTCCACTGATTAAAATGACATATTGAGTTCATATTTGTATAAGTACTTCAAAAAATGTAAAACATTCATTTACCTTTATAGAGGTCCAAATAATTCATAGGCTTTTAGTAAAAAGCATTCGAAAAATGTATGAAGTTGA